CTTCACTTGATGAAACCAACCAGGAACATAAATGACCACATTTTCAAAAGGTACGGTCTCACTAAACCAACAGGCCACCTCTGTTGGCTGTGGTCAGTACATATTATATTTGAACATGTTTAAGTGAACTTTGAATCAAATTAATCTGTGAGGGACACTTATACATTTTAAGGTCTTGAAAATAAAAAAATATTGCTGTTTAGATGAGGTTATTTAACAGGGCTCTACTCTGGAGTAAAATAATTTGCCTTGTGTCTTTCAGAAGAAAACATGACATAACTAGCATTCTGTCATTCTTCTAGAATTTCTCTCAGACCAAATAACAGGTACAGTTTGTATCACAAACACAACGACACAGATGTTGTGGCTAATCTTCAAAATTTTAGAAATTTTTGTTTAACATTGTTGCTAAACACAATCAGGATTTAATTAAAGAGGGACTCAAAAATGTGTTTACCCTCCTTTGACCATAATGATATTTAGATTATGTCATCATGATTGTAGTCAGAGTGCAAGCAGCACGACTCGGACTAGCTTGGTTGGATGTTGAGATGACAAACAAAACCACTAAGAGATTTTGAGACATCACCTGGATTTATTTTTTATTTTATGGCAGTAAAACCATAAACACTGTGAGTGAAACTTGAGATATACCGTAACATACACATTTTGAAACCATTACTTGGTCAGCAGAATGCCACTCTGAGTGATGGTGAAGATTCTCAGTCATCCAGTTCATAGTCATTTAAAAAAAGTTTAAAAGTAAAAAAAAAAAAAATAAATAAAATAAAACACTGGAGCTTGTTTTCCAAGTAGTTTCGCTTCCCATCCAGGAACCTTTTTCAATTCAAAATGTCGGGATTAGTGTTGAGTTTCAAGTATTATTGAGTAGGCCAACAAAGCCTTGTTATGGCTTTGTATGGATTGCATCCCATAAACCAGATTTTCTCTGTGTGTCATTTAGCCTCACAGGGATTTAAACGAGAATGATCCATTCTGGTCAGAATGAAAGTGCCACTAAGCATTTAGGGCTCAATATGGTGCCATAAGATAGAATCATCATGACATCATACTTCTAAAACCTATCAATACTATATTCTATTGATTCCACCAATTTCAGCATATATCACACAGCATTAAGGGGAATTAACAGCATTCACTCTAAAGTCACAGAAATTAGTGATAAATGTCTGTTAATAATATACAGAGCCTAAAGTATAATTCTGTAAGCTACTGATACATACATCTTTGGATCAGGTTGGTATATTCACAAATGCAACAATCATTTTACACCTGTAGAAATGTTCAAAAAAATTTGAAGGAGAGATCCCAGAAAGAGAGGACCAGATGTTTTTTCATTCTTTTCCTGACCTTTAAATAGTTTTATCCAAGTTTGACTAACTGGGATAAAATACAGACTCAAATCTTAAGTCTTTGCGAGTTCTCCCTCTGCTCATGCAGGGATTCTTTGGCTACTTCACTTTCTTCCTTAAATCCAAAAAAATATATATTTTAGGTTAACCAGTGAGGAACTCTAAATAGCCCGTAGGCATTACTGCACATTGGTTTCTCTCTATAAGACTGAGTGTCAGTATATGATACCATTAATATAAGAATTACAATTATGGCTGAAGAAGTAGGCTCAACTAGTTACTCTAGTAACTATCTTTGGTATATTTAGTCAAAGTTTTTGAATTAGACTATTTACACTTGTTATACATAATTAAAAAATGGAGTATTCTTAGGCTCTTTTGTTTGGCATTTATTTAATAACTAAGTTGTTAAAAAAAAAGAAAACATGGGCATATATATATGGTAATCCAAAGTGGTCTCTGAAGAGGATGATGATTTACCATGAAGGGTGTGGAGATAAGAATATTACTCTGCCAGTTAAATAAAAACATGAAGCTATTCTGGACTGTAGTATTGAATCAGTGATTCCACTCTAGAACTTACATGTACTTCAATATTATATGAAACTCAATAAAATGTGTGAAATATGGACAGATGTTCTTGGAGCAGGTTATTAAAGTGCAGTCTTTAGAAAATTAAATGAAAAGGTTAACCACACTCAGATAGAGTTTACAGAAGAAGGATCTATAGTTTGGGTTACTTCTATTTTAACTATAGTGCTTAGAGTTGTCATGGCACATGATGGCAGGCATGCATGCACATACAGTACATAGCAAATGCATTCACATAAGAACAGTTAGAAAAAGTTGTATGTACTATTACATCAGACATACACAAAGAAGCTCAAACTCACAAATACATTTACAGTGTAAACTGGCTGTCATCTTTAATCAGACTGTGTAAAATCACACAAACATGGATGACCAGCTACAAACACTCATTTGGTGTGTCAGTATGTGGTTGTGGCAACTGATTTAACTTTTTAACCACATGTAACCAATAAACACAGGGCAGACAGAACAAGACTGGAAAATCCCTCTTTTTCTTTCTTTCTTTCTTTCTTTCTTTCTTTCTTTCTTTCTTTCTTTCTTTCTTTCTTTCTTTGCCCGCACTATCAAAAAGTGGCCTTTAGCCACTTTGAAACCTTTGGAATGCCAATTACTTTCCATTATTCGGGACCAAAAAGACATAAAAAATGACAAACAAAAAAATTAACAAAACATGCAACAGACTCAAGAGTCAGTTGCCATTTTAGAAGGTTTTATGGGCTTGTAGTTGTAGAAAATTAATCCAATAGAGCTAGTCTGTGTCATGATCTTGGCGCTGGTGACAGGCTGGATTACTCATTTCATTCACCTGCCTAACTCCGCCTACTTTCTCATTACAGTTCAGCTGATTCACCTGGTCCTGCTTTTACTTAACCAGCCGTATAACCTGTCATCAGTGGCACATTATTCTCGAGTCAGTGGAGAGACTGATTAAGTGTTACCTTAGTGTTTCTGACCTGTTCTACCTTTCACCCACTGAGCCTGCCTGTTCCCGTCTGATCTGTTTGCCTGACTCCTGCTATCAGACTCCTGAGCATGTCATCTACACAAGCTTTGGCTTTGCCCTCTGGCTTATCCTGCCTTCCTTCGTCTGCTTGGATCTGATCTACTGCTTGTTTTCCCTCCTCTGGGACTACAGTGTCTGGGACTCTATGAGCCGCATATTGTCGTCAGCTGGCCGGCTGGAATTAACCTAGTTCTCTGGGCACAGACTGAACTATCAAACTAGGTTAGTGACTCACGTGTTCGTAATCATCCTCCATCAGATTAACGTGGTCACTAACCTGTGTTTTCCTGCCTACCTAAGATGTCCTTGATGTGTATGCAGATCTGCCGTTTTTAAATAAAAGCTTTTAAATTATCTGACTGCTTGTCTGCCTTGAATACTGGGTCTGAGCCTTGATGATCTGAGTAATAAAAAAGTAAATAAAAAGTTCTTTAATTTTGTATCGGTGCATTACTGTACATGGACTCATGATCTCGTGAGATTATGAATTGTCTACTTCATCAATCCTCAATCTAACTAATAAATTAGTGTATCTCTTAGTCATGTAAATTGTCCTGCTCAGATCTGTTAATGACGGATACTATTTAAGTGGTTTGAAGCAGAAAAACATCCAAATCTTGCAGGCCATCTGCTTTGAGGATAGGAGTTCCACATGGCTGCATTTGAATCTCCTATTCTTTCATTTCCAGCTGCAGAAACGGGAATCTAGCTCTGTTTTCTTTTCCAGTCAGGGCAGCATACAGCCGAATGAGGTGTTCTCACAAAAATATACACCTCTTCCCCTTTTTAGTTTCCACACATACAGAGGCAGACACACCCTTTCCGAACATCCTAAACTTCCACAGGGGTTTCCTCCTCTTTGCTAACATTCCTGTCAGCTACCTAAGCAACATACAGTATGCACCAACACACAGTCACTCGAAGACCCCCAAAGGGCTGCAAGTACATGACTCACTAAAGAAAACAAGTCCATACGACACAATGTATGGCATTTTTTTCACTGACCAGTTAATGTCTAAAGATTGTACCTCTTTAATGATCTAAGATAAATTTAGAAATTTAAAATTAACTTAAATAGGGAATGATTGTCTTTTAAACATCTTGAATCAGGAGAAAATTTAATCAGAAAATGCAGTCGGGATTTTTTCTGCCCCCTTTTCCTGTCATTGTGTTGATTGTCATTAAGGACTCTTACAGCAGCTAAAGAACATGAATGTATAATGTTGATGCAATGACCCTACAAAGATAGTTGGTTCCCATAAAACACTGATGTTAAAGGACTTTTTGTGCTGTTCGCCACAGAAATATTCAGGTAGCTTCAAAAAGGCCGGATTAATGAGGATAAGTGTAAAGATAAAATAAGAACTTGCAAATTAAACATTCTATGCTACCCTGGAGCTTCAATTGGTGATTAATAACTCTGTAATAACTCTAAATCTGTTAATTGTCTTATCTTCAAGTTTTCATCCACTTTCTGATTGATTCTTTGCATTTATTTCATGCTCTAATTTCTTATTTTGATAATTCAATAGGAAAATATAAATTTTTGTTCTCAAACTATCCTCTTTGTCTTTCTGCTCTGCCTTTGTTTTACTCAAAATTTAAAATTCGGACAGAATAATTTTTAAGGATTCTTTTTTAAGACAATGCATTTATTTATTAACAGACTTCTCAGGTGTTTTTCTAGGTAATTGTACTTCTTTCTGAGCACAAAAAGTTGCTAATTGAGATACAGCCTTTACTAATTGATCTAATTAGTATTAGGTGCACTGTGAGCATTAATTAATTTCACTTTATATCTTAACACCAGAGATCTAAGTTTGGCTTTTTATATCTACTGCTGACAAGCAAGACACATTTCAGATTTATAAATGTATTTACTTGTAAACAAATAGCTTGTTATCTGTCTAAAAGCTCTTGATAACATTTTTACCTTAACATAAAAAAAGTAAATAAGGCAAACACAATAAACATGTGATTTTTGTTTCATTGCTGCAAAGTCAAAAACCAGATTCATATTTAAAGGTCTTAAAGGCTTTATTTGGTACAATTATTGTATACAACAGAAGAGATCAATTTACAGCCAGAGCACCCTTTTCAAACACATAAACAAACCAATTTTTTCTTTGTAGAAAATCTAAAAATGATCCCTGTCAAGCAGATTTAGAAGCATCTCTTTGACACTTCTGGGAAAACCCTGGTTTTAATTTCTTATATGACTGCTGAGAAAATTTCCTTTGATTTAATCCCAAAGTCATGGGTGTTTTCTTTATTCTCTCAGATAATTATTACCAAAAGGCCTAAAGTTATTGCTTGATTCCAAAAAACGCTGGTCTCTCTCTGAAGTCTTTTTGTGTCACAGTAAATTAAATTGTGAAAAAAAAAACTGCTCAGTGTCAACAGAGAAGAATGTCAAATGCAGATGTAGAAACTTATTCTTAATCGTTCACTTGAACCCCTGTTTCTCAGTAAGTCTATCTCGTTGAAGTAAAATTGAAAGACGTTATTACTCTTGCTCAGTCCTAAACCCCCAGGAACACTATGGCAAAATGTGACTGGTGGCTCCGTAAGAGATTCTTGATTTTGTTCCACTGTTTCATGTACTTTAAGGAACAAGAAACAAGCAGCGTCGTCAAGACTAATGCACAACAGATGCAGGCTCAATCTTTCAAGGGAGGCTTCTTGTTTTCCTTTCCCTGTATAAAAAAAATCTACAGCAGAACAGAGGGAACATTAAAGCAGCTTCTGCTGTAGGTTCTTAATTGACAAAAGTCAACGTTTTAACCTCTATAACTTTACAGTGTATTCTAAACAACTCCGATGGTTAGAAAATTATTCAATTTAAAGTGAGTCATTAAAACAAAAACATAAAAAAAGTTAAATTGAGTATGATTTTCTTTCGAAAACATTTTCCTTAATTGCAAACTTAGAGTGAGGTTACCAATTAGCCTAGCTTAAGTGTGATACTTCTCATGACTTGTTTTATAATAAACATAAGAAAAGATCAAAGGGCAGCTGAAATTTGTTGATTTTTGGAACAATTTTGAATACTGAAAGTTAACGTTGAAAATTAAAGCAGATGTTTGCAAACATTACTCCAGTTTTTGTCCGTTAGCCAAACAAGGCTAGCTAGCACCAACACACCAACACAAAATATAAAAAAACACTTCCAGCAAGAAAGCTGGAAAATCATGTCAAATAACCCTCTTATCAGAAAAATAAGAAAAATCACTTTCCTTCTATACAAAAACATATTTCAACATTTTAGATTGAAAAAAGTGTTATATCTTCTATACAGCTGTTACATTAAATGCAGTGCAAAGAGAACAGTTCATAGTTTAAATCTCTTTCACAAAAAGCACTGAATCAATATATACAGTAATGACTACATAAAACCAAAATTTCTAAAAGAAATACACATTTGATGTACAGTATGCCCATATCTGATTGCAGGGATTCAAACAAGTTACCAAAATAGGCTATGAATTACTTTAGATCCTGAGATTTTATCATTTGCACACATAACTTTGGAAATGTGTTTTTTGGTCATAAAACATAATCTAAGAGGATCTGTCATCAGATAAGCAATTCTTGAAATCATCATCACAAGATATCTATTTATGGACAAAAAAAGAAATGTTTTCATTTTCAAAACCCTCTTATTTAACGTTTGACACAAAACTTTTATATGAACTAAGCCTAAAATGGGAATGGGATGGATCACATGGGGAGAGAAAACCCACCCCGACTTGTAAAACATCCTGAAAGTTTGTGGGAGACTTTAGCGGTCTGTTCTGGGTTAGTGGCCAGGCTTTTCTGACAGTATTTCTAAGACATATGAGGAGACTGGATAGAGTCCCCCCTGCAGAGTGGATTTTTCACCCTTTCACATGTTGGGCTGTGAAAAACTCTGAAATTTAAACTTACATTCTGGGGATATGTATATTGAAATAGACATGGTAGGATTAGTCATCAAATAATTACTAGTATTACCAGCCTTATGACACTGGAATTTACTTAAAAAGATTGAACTCACAGCAAAGTTGATAAGAAAGCTGTGTTTCACTCAAAAGGCATGAGGTTTCAGATTCAAATGTTATTTTTTTCTATGAATATTTCTTTTTTTTTTTTCCAATTATGACAGATTGTAAACGACATTTTGACCACAAGGATATAGAGAGATGTAACAGCTGTTGATCGTTAGTGTGTCTAATTGCAGAATATATAACATCTAAATGATCAGATTCTGTTTTCTGCCTAAAGTTAGACTACCAAAAAACAAAAAAAACAAACAAGGAAAAAATACAGTCTTTGTATGCAGCACATAGTCTTTTAATGTTGATTAAATCTTTCAGCATTATCTGTCTTTGATGTCTGATCCGGTCTTTACAATGAAAACTTTATAAATAATCTCGAAATAAAAAAAGAAGTCAGAATATTTAATATAATTTGTCCTTCTGTCTGATAAAGGGCCAAAACCCAAGCTCAAACAAGATTTTTTTTCACATTTAAAAAGATAAAAACTAATGGTAATAATATAGAAATTAAACCCTATAATGTCAAAATTGTTTTAGATGAATCCAACAGAGAAACATTTAGAGTAAACGCTATGTAGGCTATGAGATCCTGTATTCATCCAGTTATACAGGCACTGTAATAAACAGCACTGCTAGCGTCAGACAGAGCAGATATCAGAGGGCTGCTCCCATCATCACAGCCACCATTACCACTCATAATACTGCTGGCATCCCTATTGATAACACTGCTAACAATACTGTTACTGCCTCCAACAGTGTTATTACACCCACCCAGAACCTTTAACCCACCTCCACACCCTCCAACAAGTCCATAGGACTCCTCTCGATTCCGTCCCATATTGACATACTGGTCAAATTCATGCCTGTCCACCTCAGACCAAAACTCAGCAGAGGAAGACCCAATCTGGCCACTCGTCTCCAGATTGGGGTGGTCTGAGTGTGCAGGACGACCAAATGAGGATGCGGGGAGGATGCAGGAGGATGAGCAGGATGGGGAAGAAGTTTCAGGAGGGGGGGAAAGCTGTCCCAGATGAGAGGGAGTAAAATGTGTAGTATTAGAGGTAGAGCTAGCATACATTTGGTTCAGGTAGCCAGCAGGAGCTGTGCTTAGAGTTGTTTGCTGGCATTTTACTGGCTCAGGGAGGCTAAAGGAAGGACGAGGATAAGATACAGGAGGTGACGAAGCATTTAAAGTTGGGGGACATTTCACAGGAGTCCTTAAGGTGACTTGGTGATTGAAAGCATGAGCAGGCGTTATCTTAGAGCTGACAGAGCTAATGCTTGAAGTCAGATTTGATTCAGCAGAGCTTATTCTAGAATCAAGTCTGGAAGTTCTGCTTGGACTAAGACTCACATTCAACCCGCTGTTTAAACTGGCACTAACACTGATGGAGTTATGGTGACTGTGGTTGTTATAGTGCTGGCTGTAATGTGGGTTGTGATGGTGAAGCCGGTGGTAACCACTCCAACCCCCCATCCCTGCCTCGTCTTGCATGTGCTGGGGGAAAAACACAGATTCCCCAGCTCCATCTTCCAGAACATCCAATGGAGACATCTCTGGGGTGGGTAAGCCGTAACTCTCCAGCTCTGCGTGTCCTGGGGTGGAAAGGTCTCTGAAGTGCCCCAAAGATGGCAGCAGCTGGTGTGAGTGATGGTGGTGGGAAGTGTGGGCCGGGTGCACATAAGCAGATGCACCAGATACAGTTTCAGCAGCCAAAGGACCGATGCCGGGACCCAACCCAAGGCCAGGGGCCCCACCTTGAGCTAAGCTGTGCAGCAAGAGCCCAGGTTCAACTCGCTTCAGTTTCTTAGTGGTCTTTTTACGCCGTGGTCTGTACTTATAGTTTGGGTGATCCTGGAGATGTTGAACACGGAGACGTTCAGCTTCTTCTACAAATGGTCGCTTGTCTGTAGAGCTCAGGGCCTTCCAAGACTGACCTGAAAGATGGTGTCAAGGAATAATGTAATATGAATGAGACAGAAATAAAAGTATTAACTGTATTTTAATTCCTAAATAATGTATCAAAATGATCAGGTAAAACCGTTTCGCATTTCACGCCATTGTCCTGAACCTTAAATTTTATTTTTCTTTAAAACCTATAACAATGTCATGCATTGTAGTTTCATCTTTTTTGAAGCTGTTCATTTATGGTAAATAACAATGCATTGAATTCTATACTTCTATTGTAAACAAATACTCTAAAAGCAATTTTATGTGATCAGAAAAAGAAATTGAAGAGAAAAAAGAAAGAAAGAAATGTAACTTTATTGATCTCACAATGGAGAAATTAACTCCTTGCATTAAAAAAAAAAACCCTGACAAACTTTAAATTAAATTCAGACATCAACAGATGTCGTTATGTAAGTACTTTTTAAATTCTTTATATTTTCAAGCTGTTTAAGTGCATCGTCATCTTTTCTGTGTCTATTTATCAAAATATTGAAGAATTGAACCTGATGAATTTACATTCTGCATTAAGTTTACATATTTACAGTTTGTCTTGTGGTTGTACATGCTGGCTGCTTCCAGATCTGCAAAGCAAACTTTTTTCCAGAAACTTGCGGTTTGGATTTGGGGGACTTTGAACATTTCAAGCTGCAGATGAACTCCAGCTGTACAGTGGAACTGCACTGAGCAACCCCAAGGTTTACAAATCAAAGTTTAACGTACAACTGAAAACTACACTAAAAATTATATCTTTATAATTTGATTTTATTACTTATTGCTGTTGCATTTCATTGCAAGTCTTCACGTTCTGGATAATTTAAAAGTGTTATTTTAAACAGAAATTCTGTTCTGTTTTTTTTTTTATCCTTTGCATTGCTCAGTTAGATTGTGAAAAAAAATGAGTGAAATAACTGTCAATTTTCACTGAGGTTTTTTTTTTATATTATATGCTAACTTTTTTAAGCAATGACAGAGCCAGCAAATCGAAAAAAGGAGATGCACAAATCACTCTATCAGTGTAAAAATTCTAACTGAAATGAAATGATCGGTAGGCTACTATAGAGGCAGGAATCAATTACACTGATATTTACAATGGACAATTTCCCTCCAATCAGCTTTGATTTTTGACAAATTAATGTGAAATCTGAAAAATCTAATAAAATATTTGATTCATCAAATGCATTATGAAGAAGGACACTTTTATTCACTAAATGCATCAGTCAACAGAATATACTTTGATACACTGCTCTTGAGCTCAATGGAAATTAGATAAAGTTTTGATTATGCTTTTGTTGCATAAATGGAGATTATGATGTAATTCAATAGTTTTCCTTTAGATTTTAAACTCTGACCTGTGTCAAAGAAACTGTAGCACAGATTTACTCATTTATTTGGTTTATTTCTGGTCATTTGGTCAAAATTGTTAGGTGAGATATTGAAGAAATACCAAGAGGGTAAAAAGTAAATAACCCTAAATGATGCATGTTTAATATTGATCTGATTTCAGATCCTCAATCTATATATTCTTATTCCTAAAATCACAGTTTGCTATGCAGGTGAAAGCAAAGAGGAATGAATTATTAAAGTATGAGGACCAAATTAACCTTTGATAGGTTTAACCTTAAATATGGTTTTTGAATAAACATTGATAAGGCACAAACTTAAAAAGAATGCATTCAGATGCTTCGCTCATAAAAGCTGAGTCTCCTGCTTGTCTTACCAAGCATTTTGCTGAGCACAGCGTTGTGAAGGTCAGGGTTCTGCAGGGCCAGTCGCTTTCTCTCATCTTTAGCCCAAACCATGAAGGCATTCATCGGTCTGCGGATCCTCTGCTCGGCCCCTGAGGCTTTTTCATCACCAACCCCAGCTGACACACCTCCTCCCTGGGTCAAATCAGGGCTTTGTCCCCTTGAACTGGCTGTCAGAGTCATCCTTGGTTCGGATCTCCGCACCTCTCCAGGGGCATCGGGAGAGCTGCAGTCTGCCGAGAGGCTCTCTTCAAATTCCATTTCAAGATCTGAAGCAGGACTTGGGGTCTCTGATGTCCAGCGTCCTCCAAATGACATTTGGCTGGGATGCAGAGAAGTCTCTCTAGGCAGGTTAGGCTCAGTTAAATTCATCCTATTGCAGCCCTAACTTTATGTCCAGCAAATTTCTGCTTTCGTTTGTTTGAAAATTTCAAAATGTTTCAGATGGCAAAAAATTGAAGAATAAAAATAGGAATTTGATGAATTTTGTGCACAAATCCTAAAATAAAGCATTTAGATCTGAGGGGAGAGGGGGAAAGAGGGAAAGACAAAAACAAACAAGTTGTGGTGTAGAATATTCCCTCTGAAGAAAAAAAAATCCACAGTGACTCTGCCTCTTTTGTCCACTTTCTTTTTTTTCCAAAAGACAACAGCTCTTGTTTGGATTTTGCGGTTCAGCAGTTGATTTCACTCAGTCAGCGAGGCCGTCCGACAATTCGTCTCTCCGTGTCTCTACTATGTTTGAAAGTTTTGAAACTTGTGGCTAGATTTAACCGACCCACGCTGTGTATATATACCCCGCCCTGACCAATCAGATAAATATATAGCTGGGACCTTAACCAATGAGATGCCAGAGGGCTGCAAGGCAAAGAAATTAGTCTGTGTGCAAGACATAGTTAAGGGGGTGTTTGTAACTTTGCCTCCCCCTTTTTCCTTCTCAACGGCCACCCTTTCCTCCCCTTTGGAACTACACACACACAGAAACAAGGACACACACTCCCTGTCCGCCTGTTCAGGGAGATGTAATCAGCGAGGTTCCATTGTTTTTACCCAACTGAGACCAGAGCGTCTCTTTTTCTCTCACACACAAGCACACCCTCATCCCAACATACACACACACATAAAAACACTAACATCTTCTGATGTACGGCATAAAACAAGCAGATGTCACATTTATAATTAACCCTGCCAGCAAATGACAGGCAAAAACACAATGATACATTTAGAGATGGCATGTAAATATGCTGTATGTGTGTTACTAGAGCCGAAAATGTGGGTGAGTATGTGTATTTGAGGGAAGGACAGTGGTCACACAGCCGGCCGCAGACCCAACCAGAATGATTAGTGGCAGAGATTAACAACAACTCACTGAGAAAATGGGGGACCTGGAGGTGGCGTTGTGTGTGGGGGTGTTTAGGGTGATGGTAATGATGACGCTTGGGACATTATGTTCTCTGACAGTAGACCCTACAGCTGTCATTAATGCATTTTTTTTATAGTTCTAAGGCTAAGTTGCTACAGGTTGTTTTTCAACATTCCATTTATCGATTTTCAGTATCATTGAAATGTATTTTAATTTTTATAACAACTGTGTGTGCAAACAGACATTTGAAATTCATGGATAGCATGTTAATGACAACTACTGTTCACACACAGAAACGGTGGTGGTCAGAGTCATGCACAATAGAAACAGAACAAAGCATTAGTTAGGACTGTTTGAGAATATACTTAAAACATGAATTTGTTTATATATTTTCTCTATAAAACTATAAAAAAAAAAAAACCTTCACTCGTACAGCATAACTCCTAAAAACAAATGCACACACACACAAACAATGACACACATTTCCCTCCCCACGCCCAGCTCCATAGGAGACTCCAGTGGCGTCTCAGAACCTCCTGCTTGACCAACCAGGAACTACTCCCACGTTGTCGTCTCAGGCCTGCTGTCATAACTTTGTGTGTGTATCTGTGTGTGTGTACAGGCAAAGCATCAGAGTCTATGCTGTGAGTTACTGTAAGTATTTGTAGGTGGGACAGTTTCAGTATCAAACCTTTGGCTTCTCTTTGCGTTTCCATCCTTGTCTGACTTCCTGTGAGCCACAAAGATTAAATGTGAATCAGGTTTTACCAGACTCCCTTTTGTTGTATTTACAGTGCTCAGAAAAAAAGTGTTTGCCCCATTAAAGAGTCACTCTTAAATGTTTGAATTATGAAACTAATTTTATATTCGCAGAAAGATAACTTGAGTAATTACAGGAAATCTTTTCGAATAAGACAAAATAGCTATGTGGAATCTAAATACAGTCTAATTCTATTTTCAGTCTGGAAGACCCTGTAGCCTCTTTTCAGCTAAAAATTGTGCATTAAAGCGTGTTTTTCAAACATAGGTCAACCCGCTAACAATCAGCTTTTTGGCTCCATTCTCATCGGGGGTCTAACCCCCCGCTGGCAAGCTGCGTGGCCTGTGTCCCCCCACAGCTGTGTTTCTGGTGACACCATCACGCTGTGTTAGCACTGATAGTGTAACCAGTGCAACAGAAATCAGGAAAGTAAACAATGGAAAACAAAAAGTAAGGAAGCCAGGGCATAGTAAGTGTGCCTTTTTGTTTCAGGGTTTTATCTGTCCGAATCTCTCCCATCAGCGATGTACCATGTATATAGAATGTAAACAGAGTTGTTTTGGCTTGTTAGATCAGACACGAATGACGCAGTGTGTTGACATCCGTACGTTGTGTTCAATGGTATCATGTAAATTAGCGGGTCCACCCGGTTCTGATGCTCCCACAGCATGCCGATCAGAGCCGGGGCGATTTTAACGCGGGTCTCTTGCCGAGTCCTTTGACCCAGGTAGACACACATAAGTCACTCTTTCCGATGCCCACTAGAAGCCGATTGTTCTGTTTTTTGGCCAGTGGGAAAAGGGTATATGAAGGCTCACCTGCATCTTAACATCGCCAACTGGTCTCCCTCTGCCAATCTTCTTCTGCTCTCCATGCCTCTGCAGCAGTCAATAATATGGTGTGCAAGGGATACTTTCCCAACAAATTCAAAAGGTCATAAAAGGTAAAAAAAAATGATTTAAGAAACCATAAATGTTAGGCTAGAAAACACAGAGTTGGACTAGCAAATACAAAACTGAGAGTAGCACAC